TTCGTCAATGAGAGCTTCTCTCAGACGTGCAACTAGTACTTCTTTGTTGCCACTTGTGACAAGGCTTCGTTTCTGTAGTTCTTCTCGTAGTTGAACTACGTTCAACCCACACAGTTTTGACATCGTGTTCTTTTTCTACGAGTAGTAATTCGCTGGTCGAAGATCCCACTTCTGACACCAATGTTATAATACTCGCTGTCGTAACCGATTTACGATGCGACGGGTTCAAATCTTCGATTGAATAAAATACTCCAAACAGTTATTAAACTTTATTTACAGAAGAAATCAACTATTATTAGTTATTAAACTTTATTTACAGAAGAAATCAACTATTATTAGTTATTAAACTTTATTTACAGAAGAAATCAACTAATCGTTTATTTCCAGTAAATTCGCACTAACGCAACAATTAACTTTTAAATCTTTCAAAATCTATCGCTATGACAACGTCAACAAACAATTCAAATATCGCTTTAAATAATTCACCGAATCGCTATTCACAAAATCACGAATTTCACTAATCACGAATATCACTAATCACGAATATCACTAATCACGAATATCCCAATCACGAATATCACCAATCACAAATATCTTGCGACGTGCGCTTATATACTCTTCGCAAGCGTCGTTTCTAGATTCTTCCCGATGGTCCGATTCCAGCATACTCTAGAACGTTCCAGTCACTAGAACATTCTAGAATACGCTAGAATCTAGTGCGTTCGGTAGCACGGTTATAACAGTATTTTATATCCGGATCTAAAATTATGTACAGATTCAACAACTAGAGGACACGATAGAAAGTTAGAACGAAATAAGTTAGGACAAACATGAGTAAATATGCATTTGTTAACAGAACTATAGCCATATGGAATTCTTTAACACAGGAAATTGTGGGTGCTAAATCCATAAATCAATTTAAAGTTCTGTTTAACATGGCGTGCAAATTATCTAGTTTGATTGATATTTGAGTTGGCACGTATGAGTGTGGATATGTTTGAGACATGCGAGTGTGTGTTTGTGTATTACTTTTATTATTACTTGAACAATTTATGCTTTCATTTAATTAACTAATTTTTAGGGATATGGGCTTATGGTTCGTACACCTGTGCTTATTAAATTTTTTCTGTTATTTGTTAATATATTGTTTCATTTATTTGGTGCTTTGTTGATTACCTGATTTTTTTTATTATTAGTTGATTTAATAATTTATTGATTGATAGCTTGTTATATTGTTTATTTCGTTTTATTTTAGAGGCTAAATTAGATTTTAGATTGATATTTTAGACTGTATACTTTTAGTTTGTTTAGTACGTTACCTTATTATTTTATTGTTGATTCTTTTTTTGATTTTGACAGTGTGTCCAAACTAATTTTTCTTTTAGGTTTACAATTTTCTTTAATAAAATATAATCAGTTTTGGTTTCAAGTTGAGACTCAAACGATTTTTGAAAATAACTTAATATTCTTTTATTCAAAACAAAAGTTGTCTCTATCACTACAATATATGATTTAATAAACAAAAAGTTGTCTGTTTGGTATAAATTCATTGATGAAATTTCTATGATAAACATTTCTCGCAAACAATACTTAATTTATCGCCTCATAAATAGTAAATACAGTAAATACATTAAATAGAGTACAAAACTACAATCCAAAGAATTAGATAACGTTTAAATAAAAGCTTCTTTCTTTTATTGTTATTATTTTTCCAAAAATTGTTTACTTTAGACTGTTGGTCTTTATAATTTTTATTTACATTTGATTGATATGCAATATAATTTATAACTTTATTTCTAGGTGGCACTGCATCAGTGTACATAGGCCAGCCTCTTGATACAGTTAAAGTAAAAATGCAGACATTTCCAGCATTGTACAATAATGCATTCAATTGTTTTTTAACAACATTTAAAAAAGAAGGAATCTATAGAGGCTTGTATGCTGGGACGCTTCCTAGTCTGGCTGCACAAGTTGCTGAAAATTCTGTTTTATTTTTAGGATATGGTCTTTGTCAAAAAATGGTAATTTTTTACTTAGACTTTAAAAACGTGAATTTGTTTTTTCCAAACAAAAATGAAAAAATTTTTAATGCAATTTTGATCAAGGTTGCTAACATGGTAGACAAAAAAAAAATATCAGATTTAAATGTCATTGAAAATGCCACGTCGGGGAGCTTAGCCGCGTTTTTTTCATCTCTGGTTCTTTGTCCAACAGAATTGATTAAATGCAAACTACAAGCTATGAGAGAAATGTGCTCAACAATCAAACATGAATCTCCTGAATTAGCTTTGCAACATAAAAATATGTAATTTTAAAATTGTTCATTTTTTAAGCTGGAATAAAATGTGCTATAGTATTTTAATTACTCAGAGGTCCTTGGATGTTAACTAAGCAAGTTTTACGTGAGGAAGGTGTCAAAGGATTGTTCAAGGGACTTGTGCCTACTTTCATTAGGGAAATGCCAGGCTACTTTTTCTTTTTTGGAGGTTATGAAACTTGCAAGATTCTATTAACACCTGAGGGACAGAGCAAAGACGATTTAGGTATGGCTTCGTAGCACTTTAGTTATACAGTTTTTATAAAAATTTTACAATTTTTTTTACAAAATATTACTTCAGTAAACATCTATTTAAAAGTTATCTTGAACCAAATAGTAATATATAGATAATAATCTTTGCCACGCCTTGCTATTGATCACTATGCAAATTTTTAATTCATGTAAATAATAAAAATAATAAACAGGAATAACAATTTAACAGGTTTATTCTTTTGAAAGTAAAAAAAGGTGTTACAAATCAACATGAAATGGATATGAATAAGGGGTGCTACTTTTAATTAATGCATGTACCCAAACTATCAATCAGAAATGAAGCAATAAAACGTATAATACATAAAACCACATTTGTTTATTAAGAACATCTCTATATAAGTTATATACATATTTATTATATGTATTATTGCTTAATTTCTTAAGAACATGGTGGGGTGCGTGCATTAATTAAGAGTTGCACTCTTTTTTTGTGTCCATTTCATGTTGATTTGTAATACTTTTTTTTACTTTCACATGAATAAACTTGTTGAAAAGAGATGAGTTAACCACGGTGAACCTTGCTCATCAACTTTTTATTTATTAACTGCTTGCCGTTTTTATTTACTGGGATTTTTGATTCTCAAATATCTAGTGTGTCGTTCTCTGGATGTTGTAATGTCAAGGCCATAAGCATGATGGGACTTACCAAGAAAATTCTTTTTACTTTACTTATGTTTGCGATGAATTTACTCGTTTTGACTTAAACTTTCAGGACAATTTTTTTGACTTTTACTTTCATTTTATTTTTAATTAAACTTTCAATGTGAAAATTTTATGCCTTATTTTATATCTTTGTAAATTCTTTATTAAAATGCACAGCGAAAACTATAAAAGCAAATACAGCAGTTGCAAAAAAACCCAAAGTTAAATTTTATTAAAAATAGAGCAATTGTTCTTGGTTGGCATGTTCAGCTTCGAACAAACTCGTTTGGCCAATCACAAAATTTTTTAAAGATTAAAGTTATTTAATGTGATTAAGTTTTTTTCTATTCTTTTATTTTTACAAGGTTCTTTTTAATTCACTTTACTTACCAAATTGTTTGTTTTTAATACTTTCATTTTTGCTTAAATAAATTAAATCATTTTACTTTACTTTGGCTTAAGTTGAATATCACTGAGTCTACAGAAATTATATAATAAAATGTACCAAGTTTTGTGGGAAAGGATTATCATTCAAAAGTTTTTCTGCAACGAGGTTTAGACAAAAAAATAAATATTTGATGCGTTTGCATTAGGCGGCGAGATGGTGCAACGGTTAAAGGTCTGGTCCTGCTGTTACTGTGACTGCATTCGAATTCAAAACGATTCTCGCATGCCTTGTGTGTGATGCATGAATTCACGCGTATTCATAAGTGATATGTGAGTGTTGTTGGTGGCCAGGAAAAATAATTAAGAAAGATTCGATGGTAATAATGATAAAACAACTTTCGCGCCCAGATTTAACAAAAGCAATAAACAAATGCTATTATTCCCTCGTTATAATTAATTTATTATTAGAATGTAAATAAAAAAATTCAATTGACTGTATTTACATTTTTTAGGCCTTTGGAAGACAATAGTTTGTGGAGGAGTGGGTGGAATTTGTTTGTGGACAGCAATCTTCCCCAGTGATGTGATAAAATCTCGCGTTCAGATTGGTTTAAGTACAGATAATTCACAGTCCTTTGTATCTGCAGTAAAAGAAATCATTAGGAAAGAAGGTTTTTATTTGATCTTTAATAACATTTGTAAATGTTAATTAATTTTGTAGGTAGTTCACCGACAATATTTCTAGTTCTCCAGCGTGGAATGTGTTGTTGGGTATTGTGGCTTTGCTAACATAATAACTGCCGTAGAGTTTGGATGCTATACTATTATTTTTATTTTCTTTTAAAATATTTCTTAGAGGTAGACATAACATGTGCGGAATGTAAAGCTAAACAGTTCACTATCAGGTCAGACAGTTCCAACCACCGCAAACAGTGATCAATCACTAAAACTGAATAACTTTAAACATGAATGACAAACAGTCCACACGACGAGTCTGAAACCAACATGCAAGCACGCCACTCAGCCATTCCAATAAAACTACTCTTCCATAACTATTCACTCCTCATTATATTATCTTTAAAAAATTAATGTTGTGTAGCGTTTTATTCCTAGAATTAATAAATGCCAGCAAGCTTTCCAAAGATGTTTCCTTTTAAGTTTAATTGAAATATATTTTGCCATCATACTGCAGTGCGAGATATGGTGTAATTGCTGTCCGAGCTATCAAGCAGCCCTGCAAGCATTTTAAGTTTGTCTAATGAATTATTTCGCTATTGAGATCACGTGTTTCAATCAATGTAGGTCATTTATCCTCAGTGAGGGGCGGCGTGATGACCCAGTGGTTAAAGGGTCTTGGTCCTGTTTGGCAATCCGTGCAATGACCGGGTTCGAATAGGGCCAAAGGATCCCCGTCTATCACATGCTTTGTGGGTGATACATCGTTTAGCACGCATTCATATACGTTGTTCGTTTTGCTGCCACCTCTTAATTATTGAAGAGTGTATGAGACTTTTCTAGGTGATAATATTATGAAAGTGTGAAATATGCCTATGTCTGATCTTATATAAAGATGCAAAAATAATATTTTTTCGACTTGTTTAACGACTCGTTCAAACGCCAAGAATACAGTCTTTTAAAGTGAAACCGGAAGAAGTGGGAAACACCAAACCATCCCATGGGAAAAGATAAAGCAAAACATTCTTCACAAAATTTAGAAGCTGTTGGCTGATTAAGAAAATCACCACCTGGTTGTTGCCTCATTTGTATATGAAATCTAATAATATAATAATGATAATAATAATAATTGTAGTAGTAAATTACTTAAGCGAAATAGTAAGGACCAGCTTAGGTTGAAGAATTCAATCAATCAATCTTCGGTTAGCGTCAAGGGACCCAGTTCCCCCGAGATAGGACGTTGTTTTCTTTGCCATCAATTTTTTGCGCCAAATTAGGCGATCAGTTGTATCCATTTCATTTAAATTTAGAACTTTCATGTCTTGCTCGATTGTTTGCGACCAGGACTTCTTTGGACGGCCTTTGGGACGTGTGCCAAGTACTTCAACATCTGCAAGAGAAGTTATGGCACTGTTTCCACTTCGTTTGACATGACCAAACCACCGCAGACGGTGTTGCCGGCATTCGTCCTTTATATCATCTAAACCAGCACGACGCAAGATTTCGGTAGATTTGATGTGGTCCTTCAGACTAATTCGTTGCATCCATCGGAGCATTTTCATGTCGGTTCGTTGAAGTTGTTCCAGTTTGGTTGTCATTGGCCATGTTTTTGCACCGTATAACAAGACCGGACGTATCACAGATTTATAAAATCTTGATCGTAGTGGTAGTGGGATGTCACGCCGCATCAATATAGAAGCAAGGAGATGCCATTTATTCCAGGCTGCACGTATGCGTGCTCGAACGGCAGCTTCAGCTGTTCCAGTACAATCCAGAACATCCCCTAGATATTGAAACGATGTGACTTTCTCTATTTTAATGGCTTCAAAAACAGTGCTATTTCGAATTTGTTGTTGTTGATTGATGCAAGCAGGACAAACAAAATTGGACACTTTAGATAAAGTACCAATTATTTTTGAACAACGTTTGTGACACCACTGGTTACACTGCTGACACTTGATTGAATTGTTACCTACACCAGCTTTACAAACTGAACAGGGCCATCGTCCAGTAGCTGTGGATTGGATGGGTTCACCAGTGTTCATTGCTCTGGATTTGCTGATGTTGACTTTGAATCCATGATCGGCGAGTCTGGTGTTCCAATCTTCAAACATCTGTGCTGTATTCTGCTCAGACGTGGCTGTTAAAACGATATCATCAGCATATATTAGATTCCAAATGTCACCAGTGCTTATCGGTTTTGTGATTTCTTCCATCACAGTTATAAATAACAATGGACTGAGAATCGAGCCTTAGTGAACTCTAACGCCGATGTCAAATGCATCTGTGTTTCTAACCGTTGTGCTGACGAGAGTCTTAATATTCGTATACATTTCCATCACAAGTCGAACAAGATATTCTGGAATGAGTTGTCGACTTAGACTCCACCTTCGATGGGTGGAGCGTCAAAGTTAACATTGATGGGATTTGTTTCTTTTAACAGACGATTGAAGTATTCTCTCCACTGTAGCTTGATCTCATCTTGTTCAAGAACCATCTCATTTTTGTCCTTTTTGATACATGAGGCACCAACTATGTCTTTTTTCGTACGCTTTGCTTCTTTTGCTATACGATACAGAGATTTCATTTGTTCACCTTTGCTTTTAGTGAGGTGCTCTCTGCACTGATCTGTCCGAGCCAGTGCGACTTGACGTCTTGCATAGTTGTTCTTCTCAAGGAAAATTTTATGGTTATCAACAGACTTTGATTTTTGCCATTGCTTGTAGGTTGAAGAATTGAGTTTATGTAATGCTTGCAAATGTTTACGGATTATTTTGTCATAACGACAATACTGCAATGCGTATATATTTTAGTTTCTAACAATTTAAGATGTTTTTGAAATTTATTTTTGCATAAAATTAATTGAAATAAATCTGTAATCTATGACCATTACGCTAACGCCTAATAAAATGATTTTTCTAAGCATAAAATGAAAATATAGGTATTTTCCAAATCGCTAAATTCAAGCATGTTGGTTTGCTTCTATTTGGTTGCAGAGATAGTCAATGGTTGTGACTGTTGTTGTTAAAATAATTAACAATAGGGTTGCTTGTTTACAGATGTTATTTGTATATTATAATTTCACTATTTCAGGAGGGAGGTCTTTGTATAGAGGATTGGGCCCAACTCTTTTACGTACATTTCCAGCTACTGGTGGACTGTTTGTCGCTTATGAAAACACTAAAAAATACCTATCCCAGGCTGCTGATTGGGGCGGAATCGATTGAATTTTATTACTTTTTAAGTTTAGTTGATTATTTTAAGTATTTGCAACCCTAAACGATGGTTTTGTTGCCTCTTTTAAAATTTTGAATTTACTTCTTACCCTTAAACATGCTGGTAACATTTTACAATATATTATGTTGCATATGAAATTATTTTGCATACTAACTTTTATTTTGACGCTTTTTTTTAATTTTTATTTTGGGATTTTAATGAATAGTTATCATGATCTGTAAAAAACTTTATTTAATGTGAATTATTTTTTCTTTTTTCGTAAAATATTAAAGTTTTCAAACTTCAATACAGAAGGACTACATGTCCGGAGTTTTAGTATTTGACGTTGAACTTAGAAAGCGCTTGCGACATTATTTCTATTTTAATTTCTGCGGGTCACTCATGTTTTTGCGAGAGAACATAAGGTTCTTCGTAGGTGTCAATGAGTGGAATGCCAAAAAATCCCCACGATGTTCACAATGTTGGGTGGCGAAATGTCCTAGTGGTCGCCTGGTGCTGTTTCGCAGATCGTGCAATAATCGGGTTCTAATATGACAAAAAGTTCCCCACTTATCATCACATGATTCGTGTGTGATACGCCATTTAGCAGGTAGCATTCATGTACGATGTTTGTGTGTTGTTGATTTCTTTGAACCTAGGGAGGGTGTAATAGACCATTTTTAGACCGCCAACATTCTTGTATTTATATTATCCACTATTAAAATGCTGTTTGCATTGAAATTATAAATAATAACTCGTATGTAAAATTACAGATCGATATAGAAAAACATTAAATGCTTAGAATAACAAGAAAAAATTTGTTTCCTAAGTGAACAGCAGTTTTTAACCGCTTTAGAATGTGAGCACCTGTCGCTCGAGTATTTTTCTATTAACATTTCTTGCTTTGTCTTGTCTCTACGCATAATACGCAGTTTTCGCCCAAGGATGTCTTCTTTCTCTTCACCTGATCTGACCATATTATATTTTCATTTTCATGCTCATTTTTTGTCCACTGAACTTTATACATTATGTTTGAACCTTCCTAGCTCTTTTTTCAACATTTTATTTTTTTGTTATTTACCACAATAAAATATTCTAACTGTAAAATTTATCTTCATTTTGATGTTCGAGAAATTATTAAGTAGGGAATAAATAGAAGCAATAAATGTAAAACCGGTTGTTGTGTTGTATTAGAATCAAATGCATTGATAAATCAATCAATTAGCTTATAAAGCGCTATTTCCGCGATGTTCAACAGCGCTCCTCAATGAATTTTGAAAACAGATGGGTCTTGAGATCCGCTCTGAACTTCGCAAGTGATGGAGAAGTAGTCAGAGAAGTAGGTAGAGAGTTCCAGAGAAAAGGACCAGAAAAAGCAGATTTGGCAAAAGAGTGTTTAACACGAGTTAAGAAAAAGCGAGAAGACGATCGTAAACCGGGGCGTTTAGGTTCTATTAATATATCTGATAAATACTTAAGAAATAATTTAGATTGAGACTTATACATGAACGTGAAAATTTTAAAAATTATTCTATATTTTATAGGTAGCCAGTGCAAGAGAAACTAAAAGTATATAAACGCTTATTAGACTTTAGTGTGTAGGGAACATAAGGTATTGAAAAAAGCATTAAAATGCGAAGCAAAATTTCATTAGAACAAGAAAATTGCGATGATTCACGTGCAAGGGCGGATCCAGGAAGTTTGACTGGGGGGGGGGCGAAAATTTTTAAATAAATATTTTGTAATGTTGAATATATCCATTTTTGATTATAAATTTTAGAATGTAAATTAATTGAATAATATAATGTTTTATGTTTACTTTGATTTATTTATAATTTTTATTACAAATGATCAAAGGAAAATTATGAACGCACCCACGCGGCAAAATACACTTGAAAATTTTTTGAACGCTTTTTCCGTCTGATTTTCATTTTAAAAATTCAAATTTGAGTTGCGCTAGTAATAGTACTGTATAAGTATCATAATTCATAATCATATTTTCAGTTTTTTTTAGAAGATTAATTTAAATATATATGGATCGTTTTGTGAAGCGAACTAAAAGGGCACATCCACCAGGTTAGATCACCATACGATATGAATTTTTC